GTCATTCGCTTCACACACATACACACATGCACGCTCGCGAGCACATACGCACACCCACCCACCCACACACACGCACACAGAGCTCACACAATGCACTCACATAACACACTCACAAACTCATACACAAGGATCGTTGAAACACATTTTCATTTTAAATTGCCCCTAAGATTTTTTTTGAGGCCGCCATCCTAGTCAAGCATCCTTTATGATTGCGGTCTCCTGCACTTTTTTGACGTTTTATTAAACGTTTTATCTCTCATGTTAGGTCTACTCTGCCATTCGCTAAACACACACATACACACACACATTTTTTCTTCTTCAATATTTTATTTTATTGATTCCCAACAATACAAATCAATCTTAGAAATGAAATACAGTTGTTTTTCCTTGACATGAATTCAAAACATTTTCATTACATAGATTGTGCGATTGATGAAAACAAAAATGAAATTGTAGTTGTAACATAAAACAAATAACCCCATCCAACCAACACACTACTACCCCCCATCCTCCCCACACGCTCGCGATCATACTCACACGTGCACACACGCACACACACAATATACACTCTCACTTAAAACACTCACAAACTCATACACAAAGGTCGTTGAAACACATTTTCATTTTAAATTGCCCCTAAGATTTTTTTTTTTGAGGCCACCATCCTAGTCAAGCATCACTTATAATTGCGGTCTCCTGCACTTTTTCACAGAAAGTTCGGATAATACTTAAAATTTATAATAACATGTTATAGAAATATCAAGTTTCGTTATTATATGTATATATGTATTAACGAAAAAAAAAATTGAGATGACGTTATTATTGTTTGTACATTTTTTATTATATCTTACGTTTATATGTTCTTTGTTATTCAGTTATCATATTTGGGAAAATGCAGAAATAAAAAATTATAAATTAAAATCATTTCCATTTCAGTTTGTTATGACATGTCAGCCTCTTGATCTTACTTTACTAAAGTGCTCAACTTATTATGAAAACAATGATAATAATTAATAATAATTTATTTAGCACTTAATACGTCGATGATGTCGCTAAGCACTCTAGAGATTATTAATCACCTCGGTTATTGGATTCAAGCTTACCCGCACGCACACAATGTATGCACATTCTCCATTCCCGGGGGATCATCCCAGCCAGCCGCCATTTTACAGACGCTCACAATGCTGAGCAAACTACAATGACTTTCGCATTCTACCGGGTACCAATTTAAGACGTAGGTGGAAAGTGGCAAAAGTGAATTTATGTCGTGCCAAATGACGTTAGTGCCGAGCTAGGATTCGAACCCACAACCCTATGATTGAGAGCCAAGACGAACGTTAGTGAATGATCCACAATACCACGACACCTTTAACTGCTATGATCATGTAGCTGTGTATAATCGCTACGAAGAGCTGGTTATAGTTTCCGAGTAGTATTTCTACAGTTAGTAAGACAACGGGTTATAAGCGTTATATAATTTGTTGATAGTCGAGACATACCTTCAATAGTCACTGTCTGAAGAATAAATGCAGACTTGTTAATCATAGTATGTTGTATGGTGTATATCAACACAAGGCGGCGCTATTCATTGCCAAACTCAACTTTAGCTTGAGTTTTTTTCTTTCTTTACCATCATGTACACATGGTACAGGAATTATTTCAATTGCCAATGACTGCGCATTTTGTGCTATATGGACAATGTTTAGGGTAAAATGACAACGTTAAATTTAAACCCGGGTAGGGGGGGCATGGGGGAAGATGTGTCTGAAACAGAGGGAGAGAAAGAGGAAAAAAGGCCCTCCCCCTGGGGAGTCTAACAGATTACACCCACCTTATCATACAATATCATCCGTTATTCAAGTAAGGCTGTAAAAAGATAAGAGAGAAAGTAAATAAAATTAAAAAAAGATAAAGTAAAAATCATGACATCCCCCCACATGACCGGTATATGATTCTAAATTGTCGCCAATTTTTAAAGGTTTTGTTGTTTCGTCAACTAAAACGTGCCAATCAAAAAAAAATCTCAATCCAGTTACCGATCGCTTTTCCCTCTCATTCTGTCCGTCAGTACGTGAACAAATAATCACAAATTACCTGATCCTCTTTTTCTTCTTCCAGTGTAGGACCGCCGTTGGCGTATTATCGTACATTGTGCTTGTCAAGTGCCGAGTGTACAGACACAGCGCAAATAAAAATGCTCTACAAGAATTCTATGTTCATGTAAAATAGTCTGTGTTACACCTTCTGCTTGAAAAGTTCCAAAGATGTGCATAGAATGTAGTTTGAAATAGCAGAGTTCGGGCAAAGAGACATGGAACTTTTGTTTATTTCCCATGCAGGGTTCGGGGACCAACAACTGGTATGAAGTGGTGACTGGAAGATCAACGAGGCCGTGGAATATGCTGTAAACCATGCATAGTTTCTGCTGCGCACTTCTTTCCTGTAGACTTGTCCATTGAAGTTGTTTTAGCAAGGCTATGACGCTGCTTGTGCGCCGATAGTCACCCAGGACGAAGCGTGCACAACGGCGTTGTACCATTTCCACCTTTCTTATGTTCTCCTGGGTGGACGGGTCCCACACTATTGCAGCATACTCCATCACAGTGCCTATGTCCTACACAGCAATTCCTTGGTCTTTTGTGGACAGGCCCTCATGTTTCATTGCTAGAAGCACCGTACAGAGTGGTGACGTGTACATGGTGATTCTGTTTCAGGTTGCTCTGGATGTAGCCCCAAGTAATTTGTAGTTTCTTTGATATGTAGCTGCTCTCCATGAATGAAAGGAAACGAGGATTTTGATGCCTGCCTTTTAATATAGAGACATGCATAACCTGGCATTTTTGAGGGTGGAATTGCATTAGCCAATCTGCTTCCTAGTCTTGGAGTCCTTCTGCAGGTATTGTACATCATATGCACTTGTCACCTTCCTTTACTTTATGCACTCATCTGCGAACAATTTCACCGTAGACTGGGCTGATATGCAGTCAGGAAGAGAAGAGGCCCAACGACACTGCCTGGAGGAACGCCCGACAGGATGGGAGAGGTTTGAGAAGTGCATCCATCACGCAACACCCTCTATGAGCATCTTGTAAGGAATTCCTCAACCCAGCTGTGGGTATTACCTCGGATTCCATAGTAGTGGATCTTATGGTGGAGTCTTCCAAGTTGAACCTTATCAGAAGCTTTTGATAGGTCCAACAGGATTACATCTGTCTGGTCTCTCGAGTCAATTCCACTGGAAAGTTTTTGAATAGTGAGGAGAAGTTGGGATGTGCAAGACCGTCTCTTCAAGATACCCCACGCTCCTTACAGCGAATGTAATGCCGAAAATTCTGTTCACTGATGCGAAAAAAATAGCGGGTATGTTCAGATATGGCGCGGTAAACCACTGCAAAACCATTTTCATACGGTTTTTGTTAATGTGTAAAACGCGCGACAAAAGATTTGCACGTATTCACTGAGGTCTGTGTCATAAGATATAGAAATGTGAACCGCACTTTGCGTCATCATAACACACACAAAAAACTCCGGGGTTTTCGCCACATGTCTGAACGAGCCTTTTAGTTGTAATTTTGTGATGACCAACAAACTGTTAATACTCTTACCTCTAAAATATAATGAGCGAATTAACGGATAACCAACAAACTGTCAATACTCGTATCTCTCCAAAATAATGGGCGGATCTCTCGTCAATCCTAGCAAAAGCTAGATGCTGGATGATACTTTGTGGGGTAATTGCTAATGGTTATTACGAGAGACATTGTGCTTCAAAGATAATTAACGTCACTTTTGATGTGTTGCAATTATTAAACGAGGGATGTTATCTCCCTTTGAAGGATATGATTGATGAAATATAAATTCAAACAGGCACTTAAAAGGGACGTTCACATGTGAATGATGTGTACCAGGCTGTCATAGTCTTCAAACTGGGACATGTTAGGACATATACCGACAGCCCATGAGACCATGACTTTATCGGTCTGATAAACACTCAAAAAGGTGTGAGCAGGCCAACGAGACTGACATTTTCGGTCTAAGGGTCATAGGGTTTCTAGGTCATCGGTCACGTCAGTGAATTGTGGTTTCTTCAATAATGGGGCTCGACCTATAAAATTTCTAGTCAGGACACCAGCTCCCTGACCAAATCAGGAAAGATCTTAGAAGAACAATTTCAAGGGGTGGCTTTTTAGGGGAAGCAGGGTTTTGCCATAGGGTTTCTTGAACTAATTTTGTTAAAGGATTTGCCTCACGAATCTTCTAGAACTATCACTGCGTCAGACAATTCAATTATCGTGTATTATACTATTCTATCACATCGACGAACACCACACCAGAAATCCCCCACCTGACAACAAACCCGTGGACTATCGAGCACCTCAATATTATGTACTACTTTAAGAGTCCCTTTTTCAGAGGAGTGTTTCTCGGGTGTATTTCCTCTTTGTAGTGACGTCTGATGTTTTTTCTTTCCATGGGGCATAAATGGAACAGCTATCATGAAGAGTAATCAGCATTGAGCTATTATCTCTGCAGTTGATCCGAGTCATATGTGAACTGTATACGCAGTATAGTGGACAATCAAACTTTCATGTACAGACTTAAGTGGTTGACATCGATGTGTCATATTTCTACTTCTCCAGGTTGATGAAATATTTGCTCTTTTACGGTTGACGATAATTAGAATAGAGTTCGCTTTCAAATACGCTTTGGGTGACTTACCGTAATTTTCTCCGTGACGTGACGTATAGAGGGGTGTCTTGATTAGAATAAGTTATATATTTGCATCTGGTTGACAGTGCCTGGTTGGTGTACGCAAGTAGAGCCTCTTCCGTTCTGTTCTGGTTAATTTCTCAACCTCGATTGTTGTTCAGTCATAACCTTTTGTGCTTCGGTGAGTTGTGCAACATTTGGAACCATAAAACAATATATGCCTTGCTATTTACCAGGAGGAATACTTGTTTTAACTGATAACCAGAATTTTGTATTTTGAATGCTAGACCATGGGTACCACAAGTGGCGCAATTCAGGTTCACAACCCAAAGGTGGTAATCCCCGTGTACGACCCAAAACTTGGCGCCTTGTATTACGTTCTTTTGATGATGGCTCCTGTTGCAGTTCTAGCAAACGGATTCACGTACAACATTCTTCGCCAAGAGAAAAGTGGCTTTGACGACGTCACAAAACAGATCCTGAAGGTGTTCACGATATCGTATGCGGTTTTTGGAGTCGGGGAAGCCCTGGTGTCGCTATTACAAGTTATTCCACTTGACCGTCAGGTGAAATTAGCTATGTGTTTGTACCATGGTCCACTGATCTACCTTTGTTTCTTCTTCACGTTGACATTAACGTGTCTTCTGAATATCAATCGTTATATCATAGTCACAAGGCCGCTGAGATATCACCTGATAGTGACAGATCGAAGAGCCTCAGTGATCCTTGGCGTGGCCATAGCTGAATCCATCCTCCTGACCATCATCATGGCACCTATTCCAGGGATGCCCGCAGAACAGCTACAGAGACACATGTGTGAACAGAAGGAGGAAGAGATCAAGGGCAGTTACTATCTCATATTCTTGATTGCCTACGTAGTCGTCACGGTATGCATAACAATCGTTTCGACAGTCCGGTTGTTGGCTATTTCCAGAAGGCAAGCGAAAGCCATTGCAGCTATTGGTAAGATTACCAGTAAATCGGCTACCAGCTCAGGGGGGCGTTTCATGAAACAATAATTAGTCGGTGGTTTTCACCGACTTATACCATTTCCACCGACTAATACCATTTCCACCGACAATTCGATTGTCACCGACTATTTTCCAGGCCTCTTATTGGTCAAATTTAGTCAGTGCTGACTAAATTCTGGGAAAATGATATTAGTCGGTGAAAACCACCGACTAATTGTTTCATGAAACGCCCCCCAGGAGGAACAGAAGTCTCTGATCTGCAAGGCACTAACGCATCAGTTACCAATGTGGATGGTAAGGAAGAGGTGGTCACGACCAAGAGACAGCACACTCGCAACAGAAGAGCCTTCTTGACCATCTTTCTCTTGAACGTTGTCGTCTTTGTCTCTTGGATGCCTCTCATCATCTTCTACGGGCTGGCCTTTGGTGGTGTTACGGTGCCATCCATCTTTAAGAGTTCTATGATGATTCTTATCATGTCAACAACATGGTGGCATTGCCTGGTTTACCTTGTCACCAATAAGGCCTTCCGTGAAACAGCCTTGCATATCCTGAAGAGATTATGGGCCAAGTTTTCCTTCTAGAGTCGTTCGAGAACTTTTTTTCTGGTCAAATTGTTATTGAAAAATGAACGAAAATGTTGCACAGTCAAACGCATTTATTTGAATTGGGAATGCTGAATCAGGATCAACATTCAGTTGGCGGGATGAGAATTTAACGATGATTTTACCGGGGTATTATCACCAGGCGCGTACGCAGGTGACTTTACCCCCCCCCCTCCCCCCAACGAAAACGAAATGTTAATCGGTCAAATTGTCAAATTTCGGGACAAAAAAAATAAAGAAACTCCTCTTACCCCCCCCCCCCTCGCTTATTAAGCGGCTGGCTTAGTCGTTGCGCCCGATGTATAAATGTTAACCCCCCCCCCCCCCCCCCTTGAAAAAAATCCTGCGTACGCCACTGATTATCACGTGTCTCGGGAGCATGACACAGTACAAGCCCCGCTTTTTTAGATGCCCCATCGTTTTAATGTTTGCATTCATTTTAGGTCATTGATAATCCGTTTTCTTTTTTAGTTTGCAATACCTATATTTTGTGTCATATAGTTATTTATTAGATTGCTCTATGTTGATTATTGAATCAATATGTATCATAATTATACATGCTTATATTGAAAATGAAGAAAAAAATATATCACAAATCAAAATATCACATATGATTGTTTTCTGATGGAAAGTGGGATATTGTTTTCGAAGCAGCCGCTATTAATCGAAAGCGGTTGAGAATAATTAGTTGGGAATATTTTTTTTTATCGGGAGGGGGGGGGGGGGGGGGTCAATTGTTTGGCGAAGGTTGCAAGATGATGTTTATATTTAGAGGGTGTCAAAAGGCTCGTCCCAAGTAAGGTTATATTGTGCGCGCGTGATATTGCAAATAATACTGGGATGTTGTGCGAAGCAAAATAAGGGCTGATTGCTAGAGGAACAGAGAGTTTTCGATATGTGTAGTATGATCAAATATAACTTTGATTCATGCTTGCCTGCACACAATGCATGCGTATTCTCTACTCCCTGTGGCATAGGGAGCTTTCCAGCCAGGCGCCATTTTACATACGCTCACAATGCTGAGCAAACCACAATGACTATCGTATGCTACCGAGCACCAATTTAAGATGTAGGTGGAAAGTGGCAAAAGTGAATTTAGGTCCTGCCAAAGGACGTTAGTGCCGGGCTGGGAATCGAACCCTAAAGCAGGGCTCCCACTTAGCCGAGTTGGAGACTCAAGTTGTGGCGAGCTGGCGCGATCATATGACAAGCAGTTTTATCATTAAAACATATGTCTTGATATCAAGAATTCAATTCTTGATATCACGAAATCGAATTCCTGATATCACGAAATTGAATTCTTGATATCAAGAATTACCATTGATTTACAGCATAAAATTATTTCTTGATAACAAGAATTGATTTATTGATATCAATTAATAATAAAACGGCTTGCCATAAGATCGCGCCAGCTCGCCACAACTCGAGGTTCCAACTCGGCTAAGTGGGAGTCCTGCTTTAACCCTAGTATTGAAAACCAAGTGAGTGATCCACAATACCACGACACCTCCAACTGTTATGATCAAGAGTCACCGCCTGAAGAATGGATGCAACGTGCTAATCATAGTATTTTGTATGGTGTATATCAACACAAGGCGGCGCTATTCTCTGCCAAACTCAACTTTAGCTTGAGTTTTTATGTCTTTTTTCTCTTTAAAGGGACAGTTGAGTTCTTGTTTAGACCGCAAATGCCCTCAAAGTGCATGGTTATTGCTCTTATTCGTATTTATGACATTTCTAGTGCCCTTTTAGGATCTTAAATTACTATAAAGGTAATTTTAGACCGCAAAATGTGTGAAATTTAGATTAAATCCGATCATACCAATTCAGCTCCACTTTAAAAAAAAAATTGTTATGCCAATTATGATCATGCTTTTGTGATTATGTCAGCTTGATTTGTATCATTGTATCTTTGAATGTAAACCATGTATACCTAATTAATCCTCTGATGAGGCAAAGAAAAAAAAACTTTAAAAAAAAATACGTTGAACGTTAATTAATTAAATAATAAATAATAACAACACACGGGCGGCTGGTTGTGCGTATTATAACCAACACGTAAAAGCCAACAAAAAGCCAACATTGGCATTGGCCTGAATAAAACGTATAAGGCGCTATCTCGTTTTTTCGACGGCTGGTTCAATATTATCGAATATTTGTGGTGTCCCACAAATATTAGAAATGGTTATATATATATGAATATTTCGCGCCGCCACTGAACCGATTTTGATCAAATAAAAAGCTTTTTTTTTCAAATTTGAAACTCAGTTTTTCATTTATCTCACACAAAATTATTTAGTGTAGCACCCTTTATACCAAAACTCAACTATCTCTTTAACATCGTGTACACATGGTACAAGAATTACTTCAATCGGCCACTGACTGCGCATGTTGTGCTATACTGACAATGTTAAAGATAAAAATACAACGTTAAGGCTAAGCCCGGGCGAGGGGGGGGGGGGGGGGGGGGGGATGGGGTAAGATGTTTGTTGAGTAATTCTTGATTACGGGCGTGGACGTGCTGACGTGTTGTGAGCGTGTGTGCGTGAATGTCTGAAACAGAGGAAGAGAGAGAGAGAAAGAGAAAGAAAGAGATCCCCTGGGGTGTCAGCAGATAACACCGACCCTATCATTATTCAAGCAAGGTTGCAAAAAGATAATAGAGAGATAGTAAACTATAAGAAAAGAGGTAAAGTAAACATCATAGCATCCCCCACATGACCGTTTCTTTTTTATTATAGATTAGGGTCATTTATGAAAGTTTTGTTACCAGAACGTGCCCAACGAAAATGAATCTCCATCCAGTTACCGATCGCTTTTCCCTCTTATTCTATCCGTTAGCATGTGAACTAATAAACATAAAGTATTTCACCCTCATCATACCCCCACCCTCCTGACAACGAATGTGATGCCAACAATTCTGTTCAATGATGTCAATGACATACCGGATATGCATTAAGGCTTGTTCAGTTATGACGCGGTAAACCAATGCAAAACTAGATGGAACTTCGACTGCGCGCAGTCGAAAATGATGCCTCCGTCAAAGAGCAATTTTACAAACCAAAACAGAAGATTTTTTTTTAATTCAAGTTCAATTGTAATCCATAGGTTCTCAGAATATCGTGATTACAAGCAATTTCTCATATACATATATGACCCTTTGATCTTTGACCTCATGACCCTAAAATCTACTCAGTTCATTGGCTCTGCAAGATGTATTGAGTTAAATAGTAATCCATCTGTCAGTTCTAATGAGAATGCGTTCACAAGCTATTTTTGCATACATAATGAGCCCATGACCTTTGACCTTTGAACTCATGACCCAAGAATCTACTCAGTTCATTGGCTCTGCAAGATACATACATGATCTAAGTTTGGTAGGAATCCATCAATCTGTTCTAATGATAATGCGATCACAAGCTATTTTTGCATACATAATGAGCCCTGTGACCCTTGACCTTTGACCTACTGACCCCAAAATCTAATCAGTTCATCGGCTTTGCAAGATACATACATGACCAAAGTTTGGCAGGAATCCATCAATCAGTTCTTCAAATAACGCGATCACAAGCTGTTTTTGCATAAATAATGAGCCCTGTGACCCTTGACCTTTGACCTCATGACCCCAAAATCTAATCAGTTCATCGGCTCTGCAAGATACATACATGACCAAAGTTTGGCAGCAATCCATCAATCAGTTCTTCAGATAACGCGATCACAAGCTGTTTTTGCATACATAATGACCCCTGTGACCCTTGACCTTTGACCTCGTGACCCCAAAATCTAATCAGTTCATCGGCTCTGCAAGATACATACATGACCAAAGTTTGGCAGGGATCCATCAATCGGTTCTTCAGATAACGCGATCACGAGAACGGGACGTACGGACGGACGGACGTACGGACGTACGGACGTACGGACGTACGGACGGACGGACGGACAACCCGAAAACATAATGCCTCCGGCTACTTCGTAACGGAGGCATAAAAAGGCTCTTTTTGTTGTTGTGAATGTGTAAAAATGGATGGCAACTGCGCGCACCAAAGGTCTTGCACCCATCACTGAGCTCTGTGTTATGCGAAACAGAAATTTAAACCCTATATGCACTTTCCGTCATCATAAAAAAAAAAACGCAGTGGTTTTCGCGACATATATGAACGAGTCTTTTCTGTGACAACCAACATACTTTTCATACTCGTACGTCTCCAAAATAATGAGCGGATCTCTTGTCATTCCTAATAAAACGAAGCTACTTGATGATACTTTGCGGGGTATTTGCTAATGGTTATTACGAGTGACATTATGCTTCAAAGATAATTAACGTCATTTTTTATGTGTTGCAATTATTCAACGAGGGATTTTTTCCGACTTTGAAGGATATGATTGATGAAATATAAACAAGCACTTAAAAGGAACGTTTACACGTGGATGATGTGTACAGGCCGTCATAGTCTTCACACCGGGACATCTTAGTACAAATATACCGTCGCCCATAAGACCATGAGTTTATCGGTCTGATAAAGTTGCGAGAAGTCCAACGAGACCGCCATTTTCACTCTAAGGGCCGTAGATCATCGGTCACGTAGATTGTGTTTTCTACAAAGACAGGGCTTATCGTATATCATTTATTGTCAGAACATGTGAGTTGGTCTAGCATAGGGGTTGGTCAGCTCTTTGTCTTCGCCTACAAACTGGCTCATCAGGCGACCCCGGTTAGAAAATGAGTCACGTCTATTGAATGGTGACCAGACGTAAATAATCATATCTAATTATATATCAGTAAAAAAAAAACATAACAGACACACACTTCTTGCTCAGATCAGGGATGTTTTTGTTTTTGTTTTGTTGGGGGGGGGGGGGGGGCTTAGGGTTTCTTGAACTAATTTTCTAGATTTGCCTTGCGAAAATTATAGGAGGGGGGACTTCAATAATTAAGGGTGGGGTCGGGGCTTTTGCCCCCATCCCCTAGAACCGCCACT